GGCCAAGGCTGGAGCAGGTGGGGGATCCCGCCTGAGGCCGTGTGGCTCTGGGCTCCGAGGCCAGGGCCCCCTCCCTGCACCTCCTCTCAGGCTCCCAGGTGACCTGCTCTGACTGAGAACCTTGTCCCCACCCCCAGCGCCTGGCTCCCCCACGGAGGGCCCTGGGTCATGGTCTCAGTGCCCCGCCCACTCCCGCTCCTCCCGCTGGGGGTTGAGCACGGGGTCCCCTGTTATAAGGAGTTACACACACAGAGCGGCCGCTTCCCCTCAGTCAGCGCCCGGCGCCTGGGCCCTGGTCAAAAGGAGGAGCAAGGCCCTGGCCGGTTTGGTTCAGTGGATAGAGCGTCGGCCTGCGAACCGGAGGGTCAGTTTGATTCCGGTCAAGGGCACATGCCTGGGTTGTGGGCTCGGTCCAACGTGCAGGAGGCAGCCGATCAATGGTTCCCTCTCATCATGGATGTTTCTCTCTCTCTCCCTCTCCCTTCCTCTCTGAAATCAACAAAAACATTAAAAAAAAAAAATTGAGGAGGTTGCCCTAACGGGTTTGGCTCAGTGGATAGAGTGTCGGCCTGCGGACTCAAGGGTCCCAGGTTCGATTCTGGTCAAGGGCATGTACCTTGGTTGCGGGCACATCCCCAGTAGGGAGTGTGCAGGAGGCAGCTGATCGATGTTTCTCTCTCATCGATGTTTCTAACTCTCTCTCCCTTCCTCTCTGTAAAAAATCAATAAAATATATATATTTTTTAAAAAATGAGGAGCCAGCACAGCCGCCTGGACTCTGACGCCACCCTGCCCGGTCAGTGAAGGACCCGATGGCCTGTGGCCACCTCCGTCTGGGAGGCCCCCGGCCCACCTTGTCCTTGGCCTGTTGGGTCGGCTCAGGTCTGGAGAAGGTCCCTGTGATGTCTTCCATGCTGAGACGGGGCTGTAGGTTTTAGGGAGGGGACCGCACACTCCCAGCGCATCCCTGACCTCTCAGTGCCACCCATGACCTTGACCTTCCCTGCCTGGTTTCTCCTCTGTAAAGTGACTCCTTGAGCCGCCCACACTCTCTTCATTGGCCACTGAATGCAGCCCACACAGCAGGAGAGGATGAGGCTGCCCCTCCCGCTTCCAGGGCCCGCAATACGTAGCGAGACTCCTTCGTTTCACGGAACTCGGTCACGTTCGACCGCCACGCTTCGTGGCAGGAGCGGCCGGTTCGTGTGCCGGTGGCATGATCTGCCCCACGTGGGGACACCACGGGGCCTCCATCCCTCCACCCGCCGGAGGGAATGTGCGTTATTCCCACCGTTTCGATGTGCCTTTTGCGGCTGTGAGCGCCCTGGCCCTGTCTCCAGCCTGGGCCGGGCTGGGCTGTGGGATGTCCAATTTGTTTACCAAATTCACGTACCAATGTGTGCTCCCGGGCAACACGGGGGTTCTGCTGACTGGCACTGTGGCCCCTGAAAACGTTTGTCACCGCAGGGGTAGCAGGCGGCAGGCACCTCCGGCCACCTGGCCTGTTTCCCGAATTTCCCGAGTTCCGAGTCTTCCCCCGTGCGTGCTCCACGGCCGTGAAACCCCTGCTTGCGCCCTAGTGGGTGTGGCTCCGTGGATAGAGCGTCGGCCTGTGGACCAAGGGGTCCCGGGTTCGATTCCAGTCAAGGGCACGGACCTTGGTTGCTGGCTCCTCCTTGGCCTGGGCCATGGTTGGGGCATGTGCAAGAGGCAACCCATCGGTATGTCTCTCCCACCTGGATGTTTCTCTGTCCCTCTCCCTTCTACTCTCCCTAAAAGATCAACGGAAACATATCCTCGGGTGAAGATTCGCAAAAAACAAACAAACAGAAACCCTGTTTGCACAGCAGCCTGTTTCACACGGGCTGTGCTCTCTGTCTGTCCCTAGGGCTTCAGGAGCCTCTGGCCATCTTTCCAAGGAGCTGCTGCCGGCTGGTTACTTGCCCTGCAGCCCAGGGACGGCCTCCTTGTT